GCCGAGAAAAGTTGAACTTGTTGAAGAAAAGAAATCAAAAGGATAAGTTGAAAATCTTGCTTTTCCATCAAACAGATGGGGCAAATAGGATGTTACCATTGTTTGTTGATGAAGAAATGGGTTAATACGTGTGGCAAAATCGTGAATTCGGACCAGAGAGTTGACAGACGTTCTCTCTCGCGCGTTGAATACAAACTGGACTTTTGAAGACGAGAGAGAGAGAGAGAGAGAGAGAGAGAGAAAAAGAAAATAAAAAAAAAATGCGTGATCTGCTGCGCCGAGAGTAGAAGTAATTCATTCACAAGACACGAACCTCGGGCTTTCGACGTCGGGCACTTGAAGGAAGTTGGAACTTCGCGGCTTCTGCGGGCTGAGCAAGGTGGGCACCGGTCTGGCGAGCAGCTCGGCGACCGGCACTTGCGGACTACCGAAACCCGCTTGAATCCCGTACAGCATCTCTTGAAACACTCTGAGAACAGTATATCCGATTAGGATTAATATATCAGAGCATTGACCAATTAGTAAACGACGTATTAAAGATTAAAGATTAACACTTTACTAACTAATGCTTGAACCGATTGAATTAATCTTTCTAATCATATCAATATAATTGAAGTATCAATACACATTGATTAATCGGATAAAATCTTAGTCCTTTTGTTTTATTGTTATTCAACAAATAATGTGAATGAAATTGGTATAAATAATATAACCAATCCTCCCTCCAAGTTTTTACTAAGCTCACCGTGCTCTACAAATATCTTGAAATTCTCATTCCGGTGGGTAAAGTGTTAAGATTCATATTGTACGTGTTAAGATTCGCGGTGTTTTGATCGATCACCTGCTTCTCACTGCCAGGATCGCCCTGACGCCGAAAAATCTGACTTTCTGCTTCTGCGGCCCATGCACCAAGAAAGAGACGTCGAACAGGTTCGTGTTCAACGTGCTGTTCTCCTGATTGTTGAGGAATACTCTGGTGAAGTCCTTGGCAAGCTGATCGTGATCCTCGAACTGATCCCTGACGGAGTCGAGAAGCGGCGAGGATGGCCTCATGTGACCAATCGGCCTCCACGAGCCGCGTCTAAAGTAACCAACATCAAACCTGTCTCTCATTCCTCTCCAAAGTGATCTCCCTAAATTCCTGACAATCAGTCCCGTCGTTAGCTCGATCAAGTCGTTCTCACCTGTACGGTTTCGGTAGCTGTCCAGTCTCCGCGTGATTCGCCAAGTTGGCCACGATGTCCTCCAACATCTGGGTCCTGGTCCTCTCCTGCATCTTGGCGAATTTCGGCGCCGAGTAACTCGCCCGCTCGCCGTTGACGATCTTCGTGAGCAACCACTCGCGGAACATTGGACCTGTTGCGTCGAGAGATCGTTAAATCATCGTTCCGACTTTCGCGATAATCGAAATTGTTTCCTTTCAATGATGAACTGGATGGAATACCCTTCTTGAAAACGTTCTGCTCCCAGAGGTAGGGCTTGTACGCCCCGACCTCGTCCCTCGTTGCGACCGACACTTCGTATCTGGTGACCTTTCGCTTTATCCTCGGGCTCACTCGGACCAGGATGAACGTGTAGAGGAAATGCGACTTCATGCAGGCTGGATTGAACGAGGTCTTGTCCGCCTCCAGGAACACGACGCACACGATGTCGTTGCCTATGTGCCGTTTCTTTTGCACCTGAAACCGTGCCAACTTCACTTTAGCATATTACCATCCCGCAGAACTTCAATCGATCAACTGTACTGTAACAGTTGCGTAAAAAAAAAAAAAAAAAAAAAAAAAAAAA